AAAAACCAGCAGTTAAAAATATCCTGGAAATGGTCCGAAACTACCCCAAAACTCACCCGAGCCCTTCGGGACCCCGTCCGAACATACCAACAAGTTCCGTAACATAACATGGACCTGCTCGAGGCCTCAAATCACATCAAACCACATCAAAACTACGAATCGCACCTCAAATCGAACTTAATGAACTTTCAACTTCTACAACTCGCGCCGAATCATATTAAATCAACCCAGAATAACCTTAAATTTTGCATGCAAGTCCCAAATGACATAAAAGAGCTATTCCAACTATCAGAATCGCAATCCGAGCCCGATATTCACAGAGTCAACTCCCAGTCAAACCTCTCAACCTTCCAAACCTTCAACTTTCCAATTTTTGCTAAAATGCATCAAATCAACCTACGAACCTCCAAATCAAAATCCGGGCATACGCCTAAGTCCAAAAATTACCATATGAAGCTTTTGGAATCATCAAAACACCATTGCGGAGTCGTCTACACAAAATTCAAACTCCGGTCAACTCTTACCGCTTAAGCTTCTAGGACAAGAATCATCCTTCCAAATCAATCTCCGAAAACCGAACTCGACCACACATGCAAGTCATAATACATAACACGAAGCTACTTGAGACCTTAAGCCACCGAACAGACGCTAATTCTCAAAATGACTGGTCGGGTCGTTACACCGAACGCGCCTCCCACATCTTTTCCTTCACAAAGGCCATGCCCACATTGTCTCATATAAATTTATTTCTAGTTCTGTCTAACCTGGAATGCTCGCACATCCATCTCAACATCCTCATTTCAGTCACCTTCATCTTCTGGATATGGGAGTTCTTGACTGGCCAATACTCCGCCCCATGTAACATAGTAGGTCTGACCAACACTTTATAGAACTTCCTTTTAAGTCTTGATGGCACATTCTTATCACACAAAACATCAGAAGCGAGGCTCAATCTAATCCATCCCGCCCTAATACGATGTATGACATCCTCGTCGATCTCCCCATTCCCATGAATAACTGAGTTAAGGTACTTAAAACTCTCTCTCCTGGGAATGACTTGTGAATCAAGCCTCTCATCTTCGTCCACTACCTGAGTCGCACCACTGAACTTGCACTCCAAGTATTTTGTTTTAAAGCATTAGAAATTTTGATGATCACTAGAATTTTTGGTCGCAATGCGGAAAAACTTTGGTGATCCGTCATGATTTGTGGCAAAATTTTTACGATCGCCATAACTGTTGTTAAGGAAAATCCTATTCATGATACTTTAAAATTTTGGCACGGCCCTTTTTTCCAAAATGTATATTATCAGTGTAAAAAATCAATAGGGGCACAAAAATATTCTATTTGTGTCATTCGCCCAAGTAGCTGGACGTGTCCTACAGTCCAGGTGGGAGATTTTGCATGAATATGATCATTTAAGATGGTTGTTTAAACTTTATCACAAAGTTGTGCAAGAATAACCTGGCAGATCATAAGCGGATCATAACTTTTTTACAAATTGTGTCTGGTGGAAGACTCAAAGTTTTCACTTTTACAAGTTATGCGAGGTGTCTCAAAACATCGGTACAAATTGTCTACAAAACTCTGTCCAATGGCCAAAATTTATAGTTCGCAAGTTACAACGAGCTAGCGGATACTAAAAAAGTGTTTAAAAGCCAATAAGCACTTAAAATAAATCAATCCAAACATCCTCATAACTTTGGTACATATTTTTCACAAATTATGTATAATTCATAAAATTTGCTTGCGTTGTTTAATTTTTTGCAAGTTTTGACAGTCCTCAAGACTTCGTACTATTTTCATTCTACATATCTTATTCAATCCATAAAAATTTGTCATACTAGCCAGTAGCCACTAATTTGTTCATTTTAGAAAAAAGTTCAACTGTAAAGACTTGATCATATCTTTACCAAATTAAAAAAAAAAATTGGAATAGAGACTAATAGCATTCCAGATATTGCAAAATTTTCAATCTCATGGCAGACATGCTTATTATGATTCATGCTCATGTCATTCCAGAAATCTAGCAAAAATCAATGTTGATTCTTGTACGATGGTCAACGATTTGATACATGATAATAAATCAGATTTGGATTTTGTACGTAGGTCAACTCTTTGGTACATGATATAAAAATTTTCTTTTTCATTTTTTTTTTACTTTGAAAAATGGTATAAGTAGACAAGGCGACGGGGGGTTTAAAATTTCTGACGACAATTGCAAATCATGGTCGGCTATAGTAAATGATGGACTAAATATATAATTTATGAGAAGAAACAAAATCATAATAACAACAACAATAATAATTTAATTTTTTATATTTTACATTGTCAGTATGAGCACATTAACTAAACAGTCGAAATCCAAAAGCTGAGAGAAGAAAGACACGAGAGGAACTTGTGTGGTCACGTTGACAGCACGTGCCCAGTGAGAGTTGGGGATTAAATACGAGAGGCAAAGCATTTGGAGATTTATAAAATTCATGCTTTCCTCCTGAAACTGTTTAAGGTGTGCAAAGAGATATTATTTGCAAGTTTAGGTGAAAAATATTTATTAAGCTATTATTTAGAGATATCTTTTGCAAAAGTTTTTTAAGGCGATTTGTATCTTTTGTATTATCTATTAAATTATATTGTATCGTATTGTTACTTTAAATGTAATGTTTGTTTTAATTATTACTTGAATTTAATTGTATCATTAAATCCACCGTTACGTAATGATTGGTGTGGTGGCGTCGTTACCTTGCTTTTTTCTCTCGTCTTGCCCTTTCTTATTATTAAATAATTATATTTTATCTTTTACCTTACTTTTTATATAATAATTTTACTCATTTTCCTGTTTTTTCTTAGTAATATTGCAAGTTTATTCCTAATATTGTTGGTGCGTGACATATGAAACGGCGGCAAGCGATACAATCTATCCAAACGTTGTATTCATCAAACAATACAATACAGTATAATATAATACGATATATTATAAAACAACACGTAACAACAATCCACACAAGCTGTAAGTTGCGCAAATAGCACTATAACATTAATATTTTTAGCTTACAAATCAGACCTTATCCTAAATGGTGTTAACTTTTGCAGGAAAAAAAAGGTTAATTTCTCTTTAATTTCAAAATATACAATATACTAAATGTATCCTAAGTAGCTAATTATATTCAATCTGCCATTTTATTTCCTATAAGAATACATCATTAAAGATAAAATAAAAATCTTAAGATAAAGACTTCTTAAATAAATAATGTGTTAATCGTTTTGACAGATCGAAAAGAAAAGAATGCTACATAAAATAAAAATAACTTAATAAAATCTTTATAATAGATAATAAAAAGAAGTAAAATAAATAAAAAAGACTTACACATTTTATGTATTTTTGTAAGGTAAATATTTTCAAATAAATGGTCAATGGATTATTTAGCATAGTCTTCCGTCAAAAAGTTGCTGAAGGGCAAAAGTTTTGGTGAAAATTGTTGAGTCGGAAAAAAGAAGGATGAAGCACACATTGGTAGTAGGTACAATTTGGGTTAGGTACTATTTGTAGGGGTGTTCATAAAAACCCGAAAAACCAAACTAAACCGAAAACCAAACCAAATCGACTAAAAAAACCAATACTTTTTGGTTTGGTTTGGTTTTGGTTTTGAATTTTAAAAACCGATCAAATTTGGTTTGGTTTTGGTTTTAATCAGAAAAAAATCGAAAAAAAACCGAACCAAACCGACTATAGGAGTAGCTATTTCAAATTTATTATTACACCTATATATATGTATATTTTTGTACAAAGTTTAAAAAATTTAATGGTAAATGTTAATAGTTTGCACTTTTAGTATAGTTATTTACCTTTACATTCTGGTTTGATTGGTAGTTTTCTTTTGTTAAGTGTAATAATCCATTTCGTGTTAAAAATGTTATATTTTTAATTGAGTCCTTAAATTATTCATTACTATTTGATTCAATTATCATCAATATATCTTGGTAAATAATAGATTTCTCAAAGAGCAATTGATTTGATAGTGTTACGTTGAAAATGTGGTCGCCGGAATATGTGTTTGGTAGTGTATGTCTTATATTTAAGAAATAACCGACAAATAACCGAAAAAACCGAAAAACCGACAAAACCCGACATAAACCGTATCGAGAAAAAACCGACTTAATTGGTTTGGTTTGGTTCTAATATTTGAAAAACCGACCTACTTGGTTTGGTTTCTTTTTAGGGAAAAACCGACCAAACCGAACCATGAACACCCCTAACTATTTGTATCTACCGAAGTGTTTTACGAATTTAATAAAAGAGATGACCATGCTCAAAGGAAAAACGGAAACAGAATATAGGATAATTCAAGTAAAAATCTAGGTACCAACTTACCTAGGGCTCGTAATGTTTTGATACAATGATAAGAGCGTAACACGTGATATTGGTTAAGCGCATATTATGTGGGTTCCAACCCTTTTTAGACGGTAAATACTTACCCACATCGGGTGTTTACACCAAACTATATTAACTTACTATGGTTAATTAATTTAATTAGATGAGAATGCATATAATTTATCATGGTTAAATGATTGAAGTTCATATGCAAGACACATGTCATATATGTACTGGTTTGGTATAAACACCCGGTACGGGTAAGTTTTTATCCTTTTTAGACAAAAGCATGATACTTACGTAGATAGTTAATAAAATCATTATCTACTAAATTTCAAACAGCTCTCAAATAATCTGGATTATAAAAAAAAAGGTTTATACTACATAGAAGGCCAAATCGTTAATTTGAAGGCAGAGGTGCAAACTGGGAAAATTCGTTACTACATAGACATGTAGGGTAGAGATTATCTGCCGGCGCAGATGACGACATGGAAAATAGTACACCAAGTCTGCGACGTGTGGTACTCGTATAAAATCAAATCAATGGCAACATAACACAGTCATGGCGCCAATAATTGATTAAATAGTCGTTAGGTTAGTTTCACAACATATATAGGAAATAAAATACTAGCACTAAACTCGTATACTAGAAAGCCATAAATAAACAAATAAAGGTTTTAAACTTGAAGAGGCACCAAAGAGGCCACAACTCTAAGAGCCAAATTAATCTACTAGTATTATATGCTAAAACTTCAACTTTGGTCTTTGTTGCCAATTTTCATGATAGGTGGTGGTATTGGAGAATCCAAGAAGAAGGATGACACTGTGGTGGCCTTGCCATCTTCTGATCTTGCTGATGTGAAATTATTGGTTGATTCGCCTATTCTTTTTTTCGTTCTTTCTCATAGAGCTGTTGATGTTGAGCTTGCTCAGATTCGTCGTATAGCGGTTGAAGCCTTGGATACGGCGTCTCACGGCGGTGAACTAGTTGATGAACTTAGCCGGCGGTTTCACTTCTTGAAGCTTGTATATAAGTACCATTGCGCTGCTGAAGATGAGGTACCCAAACATTGAATTTTTTTCTGGGACAGTCGTCTAGCTAAAGTTTAAAAGAGTACGTGGTTTTAATAACGGCGTACCTCAGCTAATTCCGTAAAGTACTTGACACGTCACCTAGTGTTTTTGCCTCCATTGAGATTTGAACCTTAGAGCTCATAGTTTTTAACCTACTTCATTGACCACCGGGCCGCACATTTGGGTGCAAAAGACAATATTTTTTTAATTTATTGATTTATCGAGTTTAATTTTTTTAATTGAGCCACGTTGTCTATCGGAAACAACCTCTCTACCTTCTTAGCGTAGGATTAAGATCTGGGTACAAACTATCCTTTCCTGATCCCACTTGTGGGATTTTAGTGGGTTTGTTGTTATTGTTGTAATTTTTATGTGAACGTTTATAGTATGTAGAGCCACGATTCAAACATTGGGAGTTCGGAGTGGTGATATAAGTTACTGGGTTCTAAATTAATAATTTGTAACATACTCAAAGGATTTCTTAAGACAAATATAGGGTTTGAACAAAAGCTAATGGGTTCGGCCGAACCCGCATCCCACACTCTGGCTCCGCCCCTTTACCTAGAAATAACTACATATAGCCGTCAATAAAAGTGGGATTAGTAACTTGAAAAATAAGTCAGTTTAGCGATTGTAAATTTTGTGAATTGACTCGTGATGTACTGATATCAACTCTGTACTTTTTTGTTTCAAATTGCAACTTTCTGGTTTAAGTTAGTAATGTTCGACAAAACACCACAAACAAACTGCACCTAAAGTACTTATTGAGAAAAAAGAAAGATACTAGGGGGTAGTTTCACCTAGAATTGCCATTTTTCAGCAGTATACTCAGCTTACCTAAATTTTTGATAAAAGCACTGGCATTTGTTAAGATATTACCTACTGCTGATGCTTAAAATTCACAAGGAGATTCAAAGAGAAGCCATGAGTGCATAGGAATGAAATGGTAGAACTTAAGCACAGTTGAGCAAAATAGAGATGTATTCATTTTTGTTGATCACCGATATCACTGTCTTTTTCTGTTTTTTCATCTACTTGCGACTTCAATTACCTCCTTCAAGTTTCATCTACTTTTCCAAATTTTGATTATTAACATTGACAGGTCCTTTTTCAAGCACTAGATGCACAAGTGAAGAATGTTGTTTTCACATATTCACTTGAGCACAATAGTATAGATGATCTGTTCAGTTCCATCTTCGATTGCTTGGATCGCTTACAACAGGAGAAAGAGGAGGTTTCCATGCAATTTAATGAACTTACATGTAGCGTAGGTACCATTCAGACAACAATTTCTCAGCACATGCTGAAAGAAGAGGAGCAGGTATTCACCAAATCTTCATTATCTACTTTTGATCTGAACTGTAATCAATTTCTCGCTCGTAGGCCTCTATTAGTTTTGAGACCCACTATTGCTTATTTGGATAGAATGAGTTGTGATTTCTCTATTTCAAGCATGGAGAAGGTGAGATGTGCGAGTTGATATGATATCTTTCTAATTTTACAGAAGCGGGGTGAATTGTTAGTGTATGACACTGCATGCCCAACAAAATCAGGATTATCACCAAAAGACGAAATCTTAGGCAATTCCTACTGCAGGGATTGTTAAATAATCTGTTGATAACTATATTAGGAAGTATATCTTATATATTCTTATCTTTTCTCCCTATAGGAACCGTTTTAGTTCTTTTCATTGTATGTTTGGTCCTTCTTTCTTGATAGAAAAATATGGTACTCAACCTCTCATTTCTGTGTCTGTATTAATTTATTAAACAATTTTCTTTTCTCTCAATCAAAGTGCACCGAAATTTTAATTCTTGTGCGCTATCCAGTAGCAGTTGAAGCGAGCACATCGCTTAATAAAAGGTGAAAGCAATTCAGAGACTTCATTTTTTTTTTTGAAATACTTCTATCACTTAATTTAGTCTTCTAAGATATATATGCCAGTATACTGCTAGAGAAACTAAGTTTTTTTAGTATTGCACTGAGACAGGCTTAAATGGAGCGCCATCCACAGTGAGATTCATATAGCCGACCTTGCTTTCTTAGGATTGAAGCATAGTTGTTGTCGTTGACTTTTATTACAGATTCATGCATAGTAAATTAGCTCTATATTTTGCTGAAAAGTGAGATTATCTCAAAGTTTTGCTGATAGACTTAAAACAGCCGAGTGCTCAAAGAAGATGTTATTCATTCTTAAAAGAAGATTCCCTATTTTATGTGATCTCTTTTTCCTGAAATCTCTAGCAACTAAAATTTCCATGCAGATTTTTCCTTTGATGATGCAGCAGTTCACTTCAAAAGAGCAGGCTAGGCTTGTTTGGCAGTACCTATGTAGTGTTCCTCTAATGATACTGCAGGATTTTATGCCATGGCTAACAGCTAGTCTTTCTTCAGATGAAAAGGCAGACTTTCTGAATTTCATACATTTAGTCTTACCTGAAGAGAAACTTATTCAAGAGGTATACTTGAAGTAATTTCTAAACTGCTGTATACTAATAAGTTAGAGTCCTAAGTCCTCAATCTAACTAGTCTGTGTCAAATTTTGAAGGTGTTCATATCATGGCTTGATGATAACAAGGAATCGTCTTTCTGGTCCTGCATAAAACATGGAAGAGGAGCTAAATTTCATTATGGAGCAGCCAATATGAAGTACATATTTGAACTGGATGTGCTGATGGTTCAGTGCAGGGAAAAGCAGCAGCTGGAGGCTTCAGAAGAACAGAATCCGATTGATGGTTTTCATATCTGGCATGCTGCTATTACACGAGATCTAAGAGTAATTATGGAGGAGCTATATCAATTAAGAAGCTCGCTTTGTGTTTCAACCTTGTCGTCAGTAATTACCCAGTTGAAGTTTTTTGCAGATGTGTTCACATTCTACAGGTAGTAGGCCATGCTCAAGCAGTAACTTCTCAGCTAAATTCTTGTACTTGATGAAAAGTCAATATGATCTTATTCCCTTAAGACATTGATGTATTTTTGTCAAATGCTCAAAAAAATGACATGCTGGGATACTGATTTATCATTTCAAAATTCGGTAAGCATAAGATTATTTCATGTTTATTGTTTTTTATTTTTCTGAGTGTTGCATTAATTCACAGCAATGCACTGGATCAAATCTACTGTCCCTTGGTAGATCAATTGACCAAGGATGCTCCGTCTACTTTGCATGCACAATTTATTGAAAGAAGTCAAATCGAAGAACTGCAGAGATTGCTATACTACAAACTGCATGAGGGGATACAATTAAGGGTTTTCATAGATATGCTTTGCCAAGAATTGGAATCGTTTGTCGCAAGGATCAACAAAAAACTGCAGTTTCTAGAAGCACAGGTATGCTGCCTTTCCAGCTGTAGTTTTATTAGAGCATGATTGTGCTCAAACTCTACAGGCGAAAGACATGCCTTTATGTTACTTTTATGTACTAATTAACTTCTTTTGTTAATAGACTTTATGTTGACTTTGTTCCCTTGGCTTCTTTTAGGTTTTTCTGTTCATTAGAGAGACCTGCAGTCATGAATTGCAGCTCTGGTCATTGTACATGAGCCTGCATGTGTTGCCACTTGGGTTGCTAAAGTGCATGATTACTTGGTTCTCTGCTCATTTATCTGAGGATGAGTCCAAGGTGATTTTAAACAATATAAAGTTAGGATCTGCTGTAGTTAACAAGTGCTTTGCTACTCTCTTATATGAGTGGGTTCGGATGGGTTATTCTGGCAAAATCTCTGTTGAGAAGTTTCGGAAAGATTTGGAAGAAACGTTCAGTAGCAGAAGCTATTTGTTTGAGAAGTGGAGTAAGAATTCTGGAAGTTCTTCCTCGCATTCGGAAATGCAATCCTCTGATAGATCTAAGACTGTTTTACTTGGACCAAATTCAGCCATGACACTAAATAATAAGCATGATACACCTTATTCTAATGGGATCAATCTTCATATATTTTTCTCTGACTCGCTGAAAAACTTACAGTTCCTTCCTGAAGCTGCTGCTGATGGTATGGGATTTTCCAGTCTTGATGTAAAACCAATTGACTTTTTCCATTTCTTCCACAAGGCCCTGAAAAAAGATTTGCAGTATGTACTTTCTCTGTCGGTTAAGTTGGCTGAAGATGTTGGAATTCTTACTGAATTTGAAAGACGGTTCCATCTCGTACAATTTCTGTACCAGCTACATAGTAAGTCCGAGGATGAAATTGCCTTTCCTGCCTTGGAATCTAAGGGACAACTCCAGAATGTCAGCCATTCATATGGTATTGACCATAAATTGGAGGTTGAGCAATTCAACAAAATTTCTGTCATCTTAAATGAGATCAACGGTTTGCAAGGTGATGTGGACATGGTTGACAGTAATAAGCTGAAATACAAAAAGTTGTGCTTAAATCTCCATGATACATGCATATCTATGCATAAATCACTCACTGACCACATCTACCGTGAAGAAATTGAACTGTGGCCACTATTCAAAGAACAATTTTCTGTTGAGGAACAAGAGAAGATTATTGGAGACATCCTTGGACGAACAAAAGCGGAGAATCTACAGGTGATGATTCCCTGGTTGATGGCATCTCTAACACCAGAAGAACAGCAGGGCATCATATCAATCTGGCGCAAAGCCACAAAAAATACAAAGTTTTTTGAGTGGCTGGGAGAGTGGTGGGAAGGTGTAAATAAAGATGAAAGTGTAAATGCCGAAAAGGGATCAAAGGTTTCTCCTTCATTGGCTGTTGATCCTTTAGAAGTTGTGTCTAAATATCTATCAAGAGATGATTTCAAGAGTCCAAGCATCTGCCGCGAAAAAGGGGAGAACTTTTCACTGACAGAGTCTGCTGATCATGATTTTGATCACTCTGGATCTTTTGTTGCAGATAAAACCCAGAATGCCAAGGGGAACAAAAATGTTGATCTATCCGGAGATATAACACAGCATTCTACTGAGGTTGACAAGATGAGATGCAACTACACAATTGACATTGCTGATCAGAGAGAAACAACTTGCCACGACATAAAAATATATGAGAAGTCAAGGCAAAAGGAGCACCATCTAATGCTGACTCAAGACCAGCTGGTCGACGTAGTAAGAAGAGTATCATGCGATTCCTCTTTGGATTCTGAAAAGAAATCATATCTCATGCAGAGCTTGCTAATGAGGCAAATACATTTTCAACTTCTACCCTTTGATTTATTTCTTGGAAGCAACTACATATGGTAACATAATTACTAGTACCAGATAACTTTATAAGCATGAAATATAATGCATCATACCTAAGCAGCATTAGTTTGGTCTAGATCTGCATTTGTTTAATTGAACCATTAATAGTATCAGATAACTGAATACGTGCATAATACATGTACATCATCAGTTCAGTCTCTAGTCCTGGTTTTAGCATGACTTCCATGCAGTGCTTGATATTGGATCTAGATTGGCAAATGCGGCACAAAGCAGAGAGAATCGGGTTCCTGCATAATCTAGTTTTTGGTCTACATTATCTAGTTTTATTGTTCATCTTTTTCTAAGGGGTCTTCCAGAACTTTTAATAGCTCGCACTTAAATTGGTATGTTAGAACGTACAGTGATAATACAATGGAGATAAAGAATTGAGCTTTTACAGAGTGAGACTTAGAAAAATCAAAGTCAATTTTCCTGTGGATTATTGAAATGTTATAAGGTGAACTACATTTGTTTTAGAATCCTCGGAATGGCAATCTGTTGACATGTTAATTGGTTTTACTACTACTCAAGATAAATGCAAAGGCACCTATACTTTATTCTTTTATCTAGATTTCAGTGTGTTCTTCTGCCCCTTTTATTTGATTTGACTTTATATGGGTTTCTTTCAGTCAATGGAATTTGACACAGAAGAAGTCTCATTCAGAGGTTGTTACTGCAAAGGATAAGGAGAAAATTACTGGTCAATGTCCGTCATTTCGTGATGAAAAAGAATCAGTTTTTGGTTGCAATCATTACAAGAGAAACTGCAAGCTACTTGCTCAATGTTGTAATGAGCTTTTCCCATGCATACGGTGTCACGATGAAATTACTGATCATTGTCTGGACAGGTCTGAGCGGGACGCACTTGGTCTCCTAGCCTATTGGTAACTTCAGGACTTTCCTTTCTTTCGTGCTGCTTGACATATCCCAACTCTGGTTGACATGCTTGCAGAAAATCTATCACCCAAATGATGTGCATGAAATGCTTGAAGATACAACCGCTCCGTCCCAATTGCTCATCTCTCTCTTGCAACAAATTCTCCATGGCTAATTACTATTGCAGAATTTGCAAAGTGTTTGACGACGAAAGGTGAGAAAATCAGATTTACATTCTTCGGGTTGATTTTTCTCTCCTTTCAACAAACCATTAGTGCTTCTATGGAAAATTTGGTAGATTATTATATGGAAGACTTTTGTGTTCGGCTGTATCAAATGAATTCAAGAAAGTAGAAGTTGATTTCTCAAGGAGATGTCTCCAAGTTGCAAATTCTTAATCAAAATGGATCCAAGTTGCAAATTACTGATGAATATGTTTAAGAAGTTATGTATGAACTATAGAACCAAACTTTCTATTAATGGAATTAACTGCCTAGAGTGTATCATGTAGATTGCTTCTTCATGACTGTTGTCTGAAAGAAAAGGCTTAAAGTGAGAAGTCTTTTAGTCGAATAAAGGATCCTTATAGACAATATTTAGTAATACCAAATAGAAAAAGATGCCTAAGAAAATAAGTTTTTGGTGAAAAAAGAATCTAGAGATCAACTATATATTTGTGCCTTCACTAGCCACAGAACTTTCTCTTTTGAGCGGGATACCTTTAATTTATATTGCTCAGACTCTTCAAAAATGTTGTTGGGTGCGTGTCGGATCCTCCAAATTTAGTGCATTTTTGGAGGATCCGACACGGGTGCGGCAGCACTTTTAGAGAGTCCGAGCAACATAGCATTTAATAGAACTGATTCAGAAGTCCATCAATTGCATTTTAGTCTTTATTCAAATAAGTTCTATTTTAATTCTTTGTGCAGTTTCTTTGGTAGAGTATAACACACAAAGTGAGGAAGCAAAAAAGTGGAACTTTCTTAGAGTGTTTCAATTAAGAAAGCTGGAGGCTAACTGCGGTCGTACAAATAAGAAGTTCTTTTTGTTTGTAAATTGTAGTTGAGAAAAAAGACAGTTATTTCGGACTTCGTTAACTAGCATTATGTCTGTCCAACAATCTAATTCTGGCACAACTTGTTTGAACAGACAGATATACCACTGCCCTTTCTGCAATTTGTGCAGACTGGGGAAGGGATTGGGAATTGGATACTTTCATTGCATGACCTGCAATGCTTGCATGTCAAAGGCTCTCTCTGTTCACACATGTAGAGAGAAGTGCTTGGAGGATAACTGTCCAATCTGCCATGAGTACATTTTCACTTCCGCCTCTCCTGTTAAGCAACTTCCTTGTGGTCATTTGATGCACTCTACATGTTTTCAGGTATTAAACTCATACACAGTTTTCTTAGTTAACTAAAACCGAAGGAACATTCAGACGATTTTGCTTATTTCCTTAAATACACATTTTAGGAATACACTGAAACGCATTACACATGCCCAATCTGTAGCAAGACACTTGGGGACATGAAGGTCAGCAAAACTGTTGAACGTCAAAGCTCATTAAACTGGTTTTTGGTTAAAGATTGTATTGAATATGCAGCTCATGTTGTGCTCTATTTCAGGTGCTCTTTGATATGTTAGATGCATTTCTTTCTCAGGAGATAATTCCCGAGGAGTATGCTGGCCAGATTCAGGTTCACTTAAACCATATTCTGTTTCCATTTATGAATATTCTTCTGAATAGGGGTTAATGCGATATCAATCCTGTTGACACAAAGAAGGTTACATATATACAGCTTATACTATGCAATGATTGTCAAAAGAGAGGAACTGCTTCCTTCCACTGGATCTATCACAAGTGCTCACATTGTGGTTCATACAGTACAAGACTTATATGATCTAAATCTAGAATCGTAGTAGCTGATTCAAAGTCGCGTGAACAACTGATTCCATGCTCCCAGACTGTACAGAAACTGTTGCAGACGTTCACCTTAAATACTTGGGATGCATGAAGCAGTTCTGTTTTTCCATTGTCAATAAATAATGTATATGCTTCATTTTCTTCAATCAACCTATGTTAAATTCCAAAGATTCTTCGGTTCTGATTCATCATAGTACTAATACTGAGGAGTCTGATGAGCTTTGCATTTCACACCAAATGATGGTACTAACTTCTAACATGGATAGTTGTGAATGAGAGAATAAAAAGAGAATGAAACAAATGTCTTCCTTCATTTTTGTCCAATGTATTCCAGATAGTTTGTGCATAATCGAGTAATGGATTGTATCTGTCTTGATGTACACTAGCATGATTGTCTGTCTATGTATCCTCCGATGATTATTCTTTTCATACTATCATTTTTTTGTTGAACCATGTGTTATCCGGATGAAGAGAAGCCTTGGCGTAACTGGTAAAGTTGCTACCATGTGACCAGGAGGTCAAAGGTAGCTTAGTGTACCGGGCTGCCCTTTTTTCTTTTCCATGTGTTATCCGTATCTCAGTTACCCAACTAATCCACATTTGCATTGCTTAAGATCCATTGGTGATGCTCCCTTTCTTGGAATTTCTCATTTCCGAGACTCAACCCAAACTGTCATTACTATCGTACCACTCAACTAATAAACTATATTCATTTGATTAATTGATACAAAAGAGCAGATTCATTCATCAATTAAATGCCAATACATATTGAAGAATGTAGAGACAAATATCTTGTGACGTTAGAGCTAATACACAACGGTTTAGAGAACTTGTGGACGATCTACTTTCCCAAATTCTTCACCAAGGCGGCTACCTCGATAGTCTCCAACAGATAAAGCTTCAAGCTAGCAACCGCCGTACCGGAAGTACCTGGATCTGCACACGAAGTGCAGAGTATAGTATGAGTAGAACCGACCCAATATACTCAATAAGTAACAAGACTAACCTTGGGCTGAAAGCAGTGACAAACTCAGAAAGGTATAGTCTTAATCCAGATGATAACAGTAATAACTCATAAACAAATCCAAAAATCAATTTGTAGACAGTTCAGAAATGTAGACATGCTTTCAAGTAATTAACAGTTTAAGCTCAACACGGATAAAATATGACAAGTATGAGTGATATGAGGAATGCTACATATCTATATCTACATGTCAGTGTGCATGTCACATATAATGCATCAACATGATAGCCTCACGTACTCCCACTCTCAGAGTACTCAATCTGTCTGTCTCAACTCTCACTCATCACACTCATTCACTCAGTACTGTATGGTACCTGCGCTCATTGCTGGTATGTCAGACACCGAAGCGGCGGATCCTGCCCAAGCGCTAATTAAACCTGTTGTGGTGGCCCGATCCCATCATGAATCAATGATACCTGATGCGGCGAACAACCCAATCCCATCATGAATCATTAATACCTGCTGCGGCGTGCATCACGATCCCATCATGAACCTTTCACAATCAGGCCCTCAGCCTCACTCAGTCACCAATGTCTCCAATCTCTCGGGCTCACAACACTCATGCCAATCAGCCCAAAACAATGATACATTATGTAACAATAAATGATATCAGAGGCTGAGATATGATATTCAAATGATGAATGCGAGTGAGTTTATAACTGCAATTTAAGTAAATAACTTAATATAAAAAAATGACCTCTGTAGGTCCCAATAGTACCAGCACATAACCTAGACATGATCTCTAACGAGAATCTCATGTTATTTTTTTCTAACACATGGAGTAAACATGAATAATAGCAAGATTAGATGACGACATAGTTCCACAGAATCAACCGAGTCACCATTACTACGTGCACGCCCACACGCCCGTCACCTAGCGTGTGCATCACCTCAACACCAACCATATAACACGTATTTCAGGGATTCATACCCTCAGAACCAAGTTTAGAAGTGTTACTTACCTCAAGCCTTATAAATCTCTACACCAACAAGCCCTTGCCTCGCGAATCGACCTCCGAACGACCCGAATCTAGCCACAAACAACTCAATACAATCAGCACGAGCTATAGGAATCAATTCCATATGAATAGGCTAAGTTCTTTAACAAAAGTCAAAAAGCCAACCCACAAGTCAACCCCGGTCCCACGTTTCGGAATCCAACAAAAGTTATAAAATCCGAACACCCATTCAATAACGAGTCCAACCATATCAAAATTATCCAAATCCTACACCAAATCGCCACTCAAATTCCCAAATCTCACTCTCCAATCCGTAGTCCAATATTTCCTAAATTCCACCTTAAAAATACATAATCTAGTTGGGAAACTTAATGGGTATTCAATATTGATGAATAAAAATGATAAAAAATGGCTTACCTCTGGTAAGCTAGTGAAATCCCCTTCAAAAATCGCCTCAATCCGAGCTCCCAAGGTCCAAAAACGAATAAAATCTCGGAACCCTTCGAATATATACACTGCTCAGGCATTTCACACATGCGAAGCCAGGGGTTGCACTTGCGATCCTGCTTTTGCGGAGAAAACGTGCTTCTGCGAAGCCCATTAAAACCCCAACCTAGCGCACCTGCGCTCCCCTCTTCGCACCTGTGGGACAACATCTTCGGATAATCCCATCGCTTCTACAATCACCATCCCTACTGCCCAGCTCCGCTTCTGTGGAATACCTTGCACAGGTGCGCTTTTGCTTCTACGGATTTCTCCTCCGCACCTGCGCTTCCCAGCTCCCTTCTCACTTCTTGAACCTCCGCTCACCCAGCCGCACCTGCGGCGTCAGACCTGCGACCAATCCCCTCGTAGGTGCGATCACACCAGAATGTCCACACTCACAGCAATGCTTCAAGTCCCATTTTTTATCCGTTAACCATCTGAATTTCACTCGAGGCCCCCGGGACCTCAACCAAACATATCAACACATCTCAAAACACGATACGAACTTATTCGAGGCCTCAAATCACATCAAACAACATCAAAACATGAATCACATCCCAATTCAAGCCTATTGAAACTAATGAATTTCCAACTTCTACAATCGATGCCGAAACCTATCAAACCAACTCCAATTGACTCCAAATTTTGCACACAAGTAATTAATAACACAACGAACCTATCTAAACTTCCGGAACCAAAATCCGAGCTCGATAACCATAAAGTCAACTCTCGGTCAAACTTTTCAACTCTCCAAACTTCAACTTTTTCAACTTTCGCCAATTCAAACCAAAATCATCTATGGACCTCCAATTTAATACCCGTAAACACTCCTAAGTCCAAAATTACTATACGGAGCTATCAAAACCATCAAAACTCTATTTCGAAGTCGTTTACACATAAGTCAACATCCGATCAACTCTTTCAACTTAGGCTTCATACCTTGGGACTAACTATCCCAATCATGGACGGATTAATGGATTTTTTGGCCTAAAGAAAAAATATATTAAAAGGCCCTTAACTTTTTGTTGTTGTAAAATCTATATATTAATGAGATACTAAGCAAACTCCTAGAACTTTGGCCTAATGATAACTGTACAATGCGTGATGTGTGAATTAAATGCACATCACGATTTGAAACTCTATCGTAAATGAAAATATGGCTTTCAACTTTCAAACCTTGTGTCCATTGCATTTTGAGATTTGTCCTAAAAAGATGAACAAAAAATAATTGTTTTCTAGTAAATGAATCAATAAACTATGATGAAAAGAAATAGTCAATTCAGAGAAACTGAGTCAAAATCAGAAAGTGAAATCATTAGAAACGTAAAAAAAAAACCTTAAGTGTACATAGAGAAGAAAAAATAGATTTGATGACGTTCATCATTTACTTAAATGAGAAAGAAAGTTATCATTGTTTATCACTCAACTATATAACTTTAAGTAAAAAATTTAAAATATTCTATTAATAAAAAATACATAAAATATAGGTGACACATAATACATAAAATTGGGGCCCTTAATATTTTGGGGGCCTAAGGTGATGGCTTTATCTGCCTTACCCTTAGGCCGCCCCTGGTCCCAATTCATTCCGAAATGTGATGACCCGATAGGTCATCTTATGTTTTAGAACCTAATTCTGTGCTTTGAAGCCTTAAATATCTCATCTTATCCCTCCTCGATTTACGTGCACAGTCCGGGTATTTTTCCAAAAGTTTTGTATGTTAAAAGCTGAGAGAATATGAAAAATTTGTCTTAAAATCCATTTGAGTTGACTTTGGTCAATGTTTTGAGCAAACGGACCCGAATTCATGTTTTGACGATCTCGACGGGTCCGTATCGTGATTTGGGACTTGGGCGTATGCCCGGAATCAAATTCAGAAGCCCCTAGCCCAAGTTATCGCACTTTGTTAAAATTTGAAAGTTTAAAAGCTTAATGACTTTGAAAGTTTGACCAACGTTTGATTTTATTGATATCGGGTCCATATTTTGGTTCCGGAACCTGGTATAGGTCCACTACTATATTTATGACTTGTCTGTCAAATTTGGTGAGAAACAGAGTTGGTTTGACGTGATTGAACATCCGATTGTGAAAATTGAAGTTTATGAGTTTTCTTGGAAATTCTATTTGATTCGGTGTTCAATTCGTAGTTCTAGGTGTTATTTTGGCGATTTGATCGCGCGAGAAAGTTTGTACGATATTTTTGAACTTGTGTGCATGTTTTGTTTGGAGCCCCGAGGGCTCGGGTGTGTTTCGGATAGGCTACAGAGTGAATTTTGGACTTAGAAAAAATGCTAGTGTGTTTCAGTTCTGGTGCAGGCCTTGGACCTTGGAACTGCGAGGTCAGGCTTCGCATTTGCGACCTCTGTTAGGTTTGCATTTGCGAGCAACTCCTCGCATTTGCGAAGAGTAGCTGGGGCACCTCAGGTTTGCATTTCTGAACAATACTCGCTTTTGCGAAGTGGGGAAGGCTTGGTCGCATTTGCGATCAATTTGGTCGCAAATGGGGAAAATCAATGTTCGCATTTGCGAACAAATCATCGCAAATGCGATGACAGCAAAAATGGCAGGACTTCGCAATTGCGACTATTTCTTCGCATTTACGGGGTTCGCAAATGCGACATCTGCAATTGATCAAATAGCTAAAAACGGTTCTCATTCTTCAAATTTTCAAAACAAGAAAACCCTAGAGGCGATTTTCCCAAGTACCCTTCTTCCCCAAATTAAGTGATTCTAATCTATTTTCTTTCAATCTTTCATTACATTTCCTAAGATTTCAGCCTAAAATCTAGTGTTTCCATGGTGGAAATTGGGGGGTTTGGGTAGAATTAGTGATTTTTGTAAAATTGGGATTTAGACTTCAAATTGAGGGCAGATTCCAAAACAAATTAAATAACTGTGCT